ACTCAACGTTAGATTATGTAATGTAGTTTTTTTAATTTATTGGATTATTATCAGTTAAATAGAATCACCTGTAGATATTATTTTTCTGAACTTTTCTGGGAATGTGCTTGTTCTTAAAATAGTGTAAAAAGCGGCGGAAATCTAGTAAAAGGTTTGGCACCCAGAGAGTAAAACGTTTTTTGATAACCACCTCATTCATTGATAAGCGAAGATGTTATTTTTAGGATATCCCTTTGGGTCTGATGGATGACATGTACGAATGGGCGCGGAAGATGCCTGCCAGGCTCGACGAAATCGAAGACGTCTTGACGGAAAGTCGTATATGGAAGATGAGAACGAAGGACATCGGTATTGTCACGGCAGAAAACGCTTTGCAGTGGGGATTCAGGTAATGCTGGGGGTTATTCCGATAATACCACAATAATGGACAAATAACGGTTGACTTCACAAATACCATATTTAGCGGCGTATTTCACCCTGTCCTTGACCCTAGTTGTCTTAGAGGTGAGTAAAGCAGGCCACGGTTCAATGGTATTTGAGCAGGTGCAGTGCCAGATGCATCTCGCATCGCTTTGTTAACTAGGTTTCCTCGCGTTCATCACGGACGATATTTCTGCAGCATGTACTCATTTTATGCTACAGTATTTACATTATAAAATATTATTACGCTTAGATATGTCAAATATGTGGTGAAATCTTGTCTTGGACGAGACATTTCTATTTTGACATACTCAGGGGTACGACCTGCTTATGATGTTTATGACAGTATGCATAAATTCAAAATTGCTCAACAGCTATATTGATCTCTTTGTAAAAGTAACTTTTTAAGTGATTTTTAACGTAAGTCTGGGGCTGGGCTTTACTTGTTTGAAGCCTCTTCTGGGTCATTGGTTTTTACTAACTTTTTTCGACATTGCCAGTTTTTCAGCGGCCCAATGCTTCGAGGATCCGGTATCAAATGGGATCTGCGAAAGACACAGCCATACGATGCTTATGATCAGGTGGAATTTGATGTACCTATCGGTACGAAAGGAGATTGCTACGACAGGTATTCTCTTGTTTGGAAATTGATTTTGAAGCACGAGCTTTATCCTTTGAACCACCTTAGGTACCTGATTCGAATGGAAGAATTGCGTCAAAGCTTGCATATCATTGAACAGTGTCTGAACAAGATGCCCGCAGGCGAGGTCAAAATTGACGACCACAAAATCGTTCCTCCGAAGCGGGCAGAAATGAAAGTGATATTTTACCTTGGCCTGTTAATGAAACTAACTGAATTTCTTGCGAAATTTATAGGAAAGCATGGAAGCTCTGATTCATCACTTCAAATTTTATTCTCAAGGCTTTCAGGTTCCTCCTGGAACCACTTATACTGCCATTGAAGCTCCAAACGTACGGCCTTAAATTTTAAAATTACACCTAAGGATTATTCATCTGTATTCTAGGGCGAATTCGGTGTCTACCTGGTTGCTGATGGATCGTCGAAGCCTTATCGATGTTTCATTCGAGGACCTGCGTTTGCTCATTTGGTATTATGCATTCAGATTAGATTTTTTCTTTTTTAAATCGAAGAAAAAATGCTTGTCCTTTAGAAAGTGTTTTGTCACTGATCGACATTCCCCATTCGCGACGAAAAACAGTTGTTCTTTCCATTTACATCTTTCAATCAAGTATTCGAATTTGTGAGGCTATAAAGCTACAGTATAGGACTGTTTGCCGTTTTTCGCTGACACGAGATCTACGCTCGTTTTCGAACGACATCCCGCGTCTGCATTTATCGAGAGCTGGTTAATCCACTATTCAGTAACTGTTTAATCCAAAAAAAGGAAAGAGTCAATTAGATATTCGTGCTTTTCTTCTGTCTCTACCTCATGAATGGAACGAGTTGATTTCAGTTTTCATCTTGTTATTCTTAAATTGGATTAGCGGTTAGGTTTCCACGGTGAATAGTCGCCCGTCTCTCGATTGACAGATCGCGTTTTCAAACTCCGGTCGAACACTCGTTGACCATCATTCTGATGTTGATTAAATAGTATCATTTGGTCGGAAGGAAGCAAGATTAGTGTCAGTTGCCACATAACAGCTGCTGTTGTTTTTGAAGAACACGATGTATTGGTATTGAAATAGAGGCTGGTCGCATTCACGAGGACACCGTAATGTAAGCTTTTGAAAAATGGTTTTACGGATGGTGTCCATGAAAGTATTGTCTTTCATTCTCTCACATCATTCCCTTGTGAACTTTTTTGTTTACCTGGTTTTTTTTCCTTTAAGTTATAATGTGAGGCCTCTGCTGCCCTAGCAGCTACCTTACATACATTTCAATGTAGAAGTTCAGAGTGAGATAGATCTATACTAGCGGGGAAACGGCACTCACGTTATCTAAGGCTTTTACTTCAGTCTCGTTATTTACTGTAACTGTGTAACACGTTTCTTTGTAAACCGGTCAGCTAGTAGCGATGTCGTTCACCGTAATACACCTATTCACACCTGAAGTTTTTATTGTTTAACCCATTCCACAACTAATACGCCATGCGATGGAAAATTTTAGGCCATGATCGAACCGATGTCAAAGTACCACTTTATCGCTGACCTCGTTGCTGTAATTGGTATATCTGGTTATAAGGCTGTCGGAATAACTTTTGTGATGATGCCGGTTTAGGTACTCTGGATATCGTCTTTGGAGAAGTCGATCGATAGCGCATACATCGATACTCTCGCAGCTCGTACGTCTTTTGCAGTTTTCGATTCTTACCATATATGCTGATCAGTTGAATACACTGATCTCTTCACAAGCGAATTTCATGATTATTTTAAGCATACTCATGTAAATTGTTCTTCCTTGTCAAACTAGAGATTATACTGTCGAACATCAAGCATTAACGTTGAATTTTACTCTAACGGAGAGCAGCAAAAGCCATTTAACTGCTAATAAATTTCTGATGTAAGATTTGAACTCTCAAGATGCATTTGCAACATGGATGATACTTGTGGCGAGTACGTTGGGCTTCATATCTTAACGCTTTAGAGAAGGTCAGATTTGTGAATACTTTGTTGCCGCTGCCACAACGGAATTTACTATCTATGCAAATTAGCCTATATTCAGTGCACTGCAAGACTGCCTTCAAGACCTTTTTATACCACAGATAAATTTGCAGATTTCTTCGACACAGAAAGTTTAGCTTCGGAAAATTTAAATTTTCGGCGTCAGTCATTATTGTTTATTCCAACATGACCATGTTTAAGTTCTTTGAAGATTAGGTTTCCTGTCGAATAAGCCATTCATCCGTTTGACTTAACGCTCCCTAATTGGTTTAGGGCGACAACGACTTCATTAAAAATGAAACTAATGCTTATCAAATGAAAAATGATAATGGTCTTTTATGATGTATTTGAAATGTGAAGTTTTGTCGCATATTTAATTTAATGAATAGCGATTGCAATTTTCTAAGAGTTGTTTACAAAGCCGACACATCACTGTCGATGTTAGAGAGGTTCGTTCCGCACATGAGTGCGATTTCTTGTCCGGAAACTGTAAATACGGAGTTTAGGGCCTCTTAATTCGAATCACCGCACGTTTCCCATTTTCCTGTTACGCTAGTTTTGATGTTTCACTCCACTGTCGAAATTTTGTTTAACTTCATGGACTGTTTCTCATATTTCTCTGACGATGGCTGATGAGAGCTGAGAAATTAATTAAAAGACAAAGCCTGTCGCATTGAAGAGGCAGATTTTAGCATCACAGATTTTCTAGAGTTGTAGGGCTGTTGGATGGTAGAAAATTATACATTTCTTAATCTTTGTCATTGTATGCTGGATTATATTCAGTTCATTTCGTCGTATTGTTCTTGACTGCAATTTTGCCATTTTAGTTATCGTCGATAATTGCGTGTGGCGAAACATCAGTCTAATTTAAAACTTCACCGCAATAGTGCGTGTCATTTGTGGTGCTGAAGGAGGTTTTAGTTCGTTTTTTTCTGTCATTCGTGTTTGAACCTGTGGTTATCATGTGCATAAGTTGCACTGCAACTTTATTACTACTTGATAAGTAGTAAGATGATGATGCTTGTAGCCACAAAACTATCTTTAATCTTGAACATTGTTGATCCACAGTTGTTAGTTTGAAGAATCCATGAAGCGGTTGGTTGTATTCAGTCTCTTACGTATGATTGATGGTAACATTTCTTTCGGTGGTGTGTAAATATATCGACTTTATATTGTTGCTGTAGCGTTTGAGTAACCAATAAGTTGCCGAAATTTTTTAATTGTACTTCAGAATTGCAAAAAACCCGCCAAAGGCATTTCAGAAATTGAGCATAGCAATAAAAATGGCTAACCCTATCATTGGCTAAGACCAGAAGCATCGAATTAGGAATCGTTCGTTTCTTTTTTTCCTTTCGTATGATCCAAAGATTTGATCTACATTATTTACAGCGCAGATCTTAATTTTGTCAAAAATTTTACTGTTTGAAATCCATAATTACGTTTTAAAGCTTGCGAAATAGATGTTTAAGAAAAATGGGCAAACTTTAACTGCGTACGACACGTGTCCACAAACTTTGTTTAAACTTACCGTTATACGGCAATGAAGTTCTGTGTATATCCGTCGGCCAAAAGAGGCGCATGAGTCCATTACTTGCAGACAAACAAAACTTTCTGCTGATAGAAATGCTTCAGGTAAAATTCTCAGATACATCATGTTAACAGATCGACATATGTGTTTATAAATGCCATCTGCGGGTTCGCTCGAATTCACTTAACGGTTTATTGTTAGCCTTCCCCTTGAAGAAATAAAGGGTAAGATTGCTTCGCCCATGATCGTGATGAGCTGATTTATTATAAACATGATAGTTTCCATTTATTGAGCTCATGCTAGATATGGGCGTCTGATGCCTAAAAATTCATTATAAGTTGTCATGGAGTAATTTAGTGGCTACTTAGCTTGTACTTGAGAAATTGCCGATGAAGCAAGTCTGGTAGAAGAATTGCCGTGCTGTCATATCACAACTGAGTCAATTGTACATGATGTAAAAAAACGTGGATACATTGTTATTCTCAGAATCGTAAAATTTAGATTCTCTTTACCGTGTGCGTGTAGGGTTGTTTTGAATTGAGATGTGGTATTGGTCTTCCTGAAATTATTGATATGTTTAATTAATTTAGCATCTTATTTAGGTCTTCGAAGCAAATGTGTCTAATTTGGCAGAATGGACTGACTTTCGGTTTGAATGAGGAAATTTGTGTAGATGAACAATATTAATCCTTATACAGGACATTGTATAACCTTTCCAATTTAGGAAATTCAAGATCGCTGCTTGATCCAAGGAAAGTTTATGCGATTGAGATCGGTAGTAACCTGAAACAGCTTTCTTTTACGCATGAAATGCGGGAAATACGTCATCCTTCTCTTTACGAGTTATGATAGTTTCTGCTTTGTACGCTTGCTTTTGGAACAGAGGTCATCCTCAGTTAGTATGAAACACCCTAATATACCGCATTCAATCTTCATTGTTCTCGCGTGACCTCACGCATTACTTCTGTCCTTTCATTAGTTTCCGCATATATAGTAAGTTTGTAACTCGATACGTTTGTTTATTTTGCTAAATCATTCCACTAACTAAGCGCAGTATTTTGATCAGGAATGAATACGGTAGTAGCTGTGTATCTCTTAACTGCCCTTCGTACCTGCTACAAGAATTTCATCAGCGTTTCTCTAATAATTGTTGGTGGATTATTTGAGACTGTGTAATGTTAAATAAACGTATGACCCAAAATAGAAGGTAATCGCTTTGAGACCAAGAAATTAAATTAGTTGGGTTCGTTGTGGCGTTACTCTATATGCTGCTAAACCTAAAGCCAATCTTATTCGCAGAGCGAATTCGCCATAAGATCGGAAGAAATGAAACTACTCTTGATTCGCCAACTGCAACTTTTGAATCAAAACTTTTGTTTCTGTATTATGATTTTGTGCATAATTACTCGAAGGCCTCATTTTACGGCGAATTACACTACTTCCTTTTGTTTAGAGGTAATTTAAGCAGGCCATGGTTGCATAGTATTTCACCCCTGAGTACGAAACACATCCGACATCAGTTAGTTTCCTTTAGAATCTCCTCAAACACATGCTTAGGGATTGTCGCTCTATATTTGCCACAGTATGTCACCAGAGTAATATTGTCCCTTTTGCTTAATTAGTTTTTTCCAACCAAAGCCATTTAATTATTAATAAGTTCATGTTTTATAAGTTTCCATATGCAATATTACTGAGAATAGTGTTTTTAAAGGAAAATTTTGCTTTGATCTAAGTAATGGAAATAAATAGGTATTTATGCAAAAATTACCTTCTATAATATCAGCAGGCGATAAAAGACGGAACAATGAAATGCATGAGCGTTCTTACTCAGGTTCACGATCGACGACGAGCTTAAGTCAAAAATTTGCGAATCACTTGTGAGGATTAAAATTAACCTGTTTTTTGTCTTCCGTTACCCTTTCGTTTTACAGATGAATCTACGCATATAACTTGATTGGGTGATTGCAGGACTAAAAGGAAGGGGCGGGAAATGAA